GCAAGCAGGATTGATATGGGAACGGATGTTAGTTCCGCTGACTAGATTATAATTCGATTGTTATTTTCTGAAACTCATAGCGATGCTTTGGAATCATCATCATTTTATTAACAAGAAAAGAAGAAAGAAAATGGTCTATTGTCTATTCTTTTTTGTGAAGATTTTATTCTATTTACCATGTGTGTAAATGTTATTCCTTTTATCCTAGGTGTAAATCTTAAATATTAATTGTAATTCTCATCATCTTATACGTTTAAATCATAATTTTAAATGTCTTGGCATATGCTGCATACTTTTTTGATAGTATATTATGTAACAAGTGTTATAAACGTCCTTTTAGTAACGAGTATTTTAAGCACGAGCGGAGCAGAGCGGAGCGAGTGTTTAATAAACGAGTGTCTAGAAGAGTTTATAAATGCGTTACATACTATGCTTTTTCTACGAACTCCGAAAATTACATTAACATACCTGCTATTTCTGCTAACCTATAAAATAATTCGAAAGGAATGGGAATTGAGAATATATTACATGCAACTGCATGCAACCAGCGAGACACGTATAAGTGATATTGGTTGTAGATGTGTTCAGTCCATTATTGCTTACTAACCTTTGTTTCACGTTCATTGTCATGCTTAGCGCATGATAAATAAATATAGTTCTCAAAGATGGATGATTCATTTTTGCACTTCTTGGAGATACGCAAGAACCAAAACATTCTCTTAGATTGCACTTTTGTCTACATGATAGAAACGAAAATTGTTTGAATAATTCTGATACAAAATTCGGAAATGACAGTTGACAGTTAATACAATTGACAAGCAAGACATGTCTCAAACTACTGAAGCTGTGTTTAATGAACTGCTGCCATGGTAATGTGATTGAGAAATCGTGTTGCCATGGTAACGTGTTTTTTGAATGAATCACAGATCGACAATCCGTGATTAATCGATCATTTAGCGTGGTACATATCCGTACGCTAAATGCTATTTTAGTTATGTAAGTTGAAAAAATACTTTTCATAACATTTTCGGCTGCTGTATGCTAATACGAATAAACATTATTATTATTATTATTAAAGAATAAAATACGGGATATATAAAAAAGTCGCATTGTAGACCTGGGAATTGTACCGACCTATCAAAATGTTCACAGCAAAAAAAAACACCTGTACAGGGTGATTCATTGAGAAATGTGCATACAGTAATGGTAGATGATAGACACCGAGGTGCTTCTGCTGAATAATCATTCTTTATAACCGAGATAGAGGTTGATTTAATCATTTCCCCATTTTTTCAATTAATCATAACTTATGAACCACCCTATACCATTTTTTGATATTTGGTTTGTATGTTCTTTGTCCATAGTGGTGACGATTGACATAATGAAGAAAGTTTCATTCCAGGGCCGGCCTTGAAAAAATGAATGAGTAGGTTTTGATTCGAAACACCACCTATGTAGCTATGTATCAATATTTTGAAATGTAATTTACAAATTTGGAAAGAGCAGGAAGACATAATTTTGATAGAAGTTATTTGGTGTTTCCGCATACAACTTTTTCACTTATTAACTTGAGTCAAATCTAGAGGTTTCAATAATAAGGTGGTTTGAAATGAAAAAAAAATTGTCGTCGCCAAATGGCTCTTTTTCATTTTTAATCCATAAAATCGATTGTTTCAGTCCGAATCACGGTTTTCACCTAAAAAATTAAAAATATTTCTCTGCATTGTTATATAGTGTCTTGTTATCAACGATATTGTTATGATCATGCAGTCAACATTTTTTTATTTTTTTGAGCGAAAACTGTGCGTCATCATCATATTTGCTTCTATATGATTGAGAATTCCAGGAATCATTTCAATTTTGAGATAAATCAGTGGCGTACCATCAATGTCTGCCAAAATTGGTATGTAAAATTACATACGAACGCCAGTAGTGGCAACAAAAAATGTGGTCACCAGCTGATGCCTTTTGATACATAGCACATGTGTGCCAAATTCCAACAGAATATCTAGAGTGGTATCACAGATATTAATGAAAAACTTTTTATTTTTGAGAACTTCACCACCTGTATCTCCAAAGTCAAAACGTTTAGGTCATACGTTCATATACAATTTTCTTCTCAAAATGGGCTCAAGAATTGCCTCCTCTAATATTGACAGTCAATTAGGAAACACCCTGTATAGACTATACTGACACAATTTCCACCGTAATTAGGATGCTGTAACTTCGTTTCAAAGCGTTATATCCTAGAAATAGAATGTATGTAAGTTTATTGAAAAAACATGTACTTCACACAGTTCAAATCTCTAGTTATTGACTTATTGACATTGACATGACTGCAGATGCGGAAAAATTTCATACAGCTTCAAAAACAATAAAGTCTCCTTCCATATCTACGCAATATTTTGTTTAATTTTTAGAGGACGTTAGGCCAGAGATCAGGCGATTAGTAATAGTATTAGTAGGTGTGACAGTGACCTTCAATGTAGTGTTTCATCACCACAAACAGACCGTATTTATGATCTCTTTAATAAGATACACCATGTGTGCACAGAAAATGATTCTGCGATTCCTCTTTTCTTTGCCCAAAATCTATTTTTTCGAAAAACAAAAAAGAAGTTCTTGGCTTATTATTTGGGATTCCGGCGGGTGGCTCATAAATTGTAAAAATGTATGTACAGGGTGTGCCAAATTGGACACTTTCAAAGGGAAAGTCCTATATCCGTACTAGATAAAAAAAAAACTGATGTTGGTGCCTGTTGATCAATTCACATGACAATCTCAATGGTGGAAACTGTCAGATAAATCGATATCTATTTTCGTTTCAGAGTTACAAGGTGTTTTTCGAAAATATGAATTTTCTAAAAATGGCTGAAACTTAGTTTTTGTCAAAAATTCTTCGTTTCCATAAAAACATCTCCAGAACATTGTGTTTATCATGAAAATGGATACTCAGGTACTGAAATCAGTCACTAAAGGGTGTCCCAGAACAACGTACATTAAATTCAACAGGGTCAACTAGAGTTCAAAATAGGTCGATTGGGACCAACTTACCTCTGTACGAAAATGCACCGTTGGGCCGTGAGAGGGCGATGAATGGATTTTTTTTTCAGATTTTATTGAATATTTCAAAATCCTTGAGAGGTAATGCTCTGAAATTTGGAAAGCAGTCAACTATAAGAACTGTGCATAGATAACAGGTCTCATCAGTTCAATAGATATACAGGAAGATACAAATTCAGCATTCTGATTGGAGAAAATCCATAGAACTTTTTTTGAGTACGCCACTGACAATATTTCAATATCTACTTGAATAACAAAATCAATTATCTATCTTTTTTCTCACTACTTTTTTTTCTAAATTTTGCTTGGTTTACGAGATATCTGAAAAACTTTTTTCGGAGTCCCTCCATATCATCCATAGTCCAAGATATCAGAGTTATCGTGTTCTGCAGGTTTCTTCCTCCTTCATATTGATATTTTGGTCACGTATTCATGTTAATTATTTAATAACCTTTTCATCATACAGGATGGCCCATTTTCAACTTGACAGGCAGATTTTGGGTGATAATAGCGTAGATTCGAAAAAATGCTCAGATCGGTCGATTTTAGTTTGCACCTCCTGCTAACAATCAAAGTCGTTTGCTGGTTTATTTCGTTCTGTTGAGAGTTCGGGGGCACATATATCATATCATATCAGTGCATCAGGAATGATTGTTATCATAAACTCAATGCTTTGCAGTTATTTTCATGAGATAATACAATTTTTGCCAAAATATATTTGTAACCACTTTTCAAGAATGCCCATTTTCGAAGAACACCTTGTAACTCCGAAACGAAGACAGATATCGATATGCGGTTTTCACCATTGAGTTTTGCATGCGAATCGATCCTCAGGCACCGACATCAGTTTTCTTCTATCTAGTTGGAGAATAGGACGTTCCCTTCAAAAGTGGAAGATTTGACCCACCCTGTACACGGTGGTTGTTTTCAAAGTGCTCATAAGGGTAATAGTTGATTCAATTATATTGCGAGGTTATAATTCACAAGAATTCCAATCATACTCAATCGATTATTTTATTCATATGATTATAAAAAGCATGATCGAATCAACACGAATATATATAAATGCGTGTGAATATATAACAAATAATACAAATAGTTTCAAGGAAAAATATCACATCTCATTCAAGATACAATCGGCAGTTTTTGTATTCATTTAAACTTCTGAAAACTAATGATGCCAAACCTCTTTCGTTTCTTTGAAATCAGAAGACAATGATGATATATTCCTGTTTATATGAAATTCAATATAAAATTGTTTGAACTAACAAAACAATTTTAGTATTTCTGACTAAGATGATATTCATTGTATTCCATTCTATATGAACATGAAGTTCTAATAGAAGCAAATATAGACAGTCCAAACTCGAAAACGCGGAGTTCAATTGTTTTGTCATCGTAGGTCCTAGTGCATTCAAAATATTGCTATCGTGTACTGTTTACCCCAATATTGATTCTTCAATCATGTATATCTCAATTTCTATTGGAATATTGATCAATAATCAATATATAGGACGATTATGAAACTTCAATGAAATTTTAGATGAAAACTACTGAATGAAAGTATTTAGATAACACAAAATAGTTTTTTCCTCTAACATTCAATATTCTTTCTAAAGATATGCTTTTCTAATATCACAAGACAACTAACAATATAGAGATGATATTATGTTACAATTGTTACACAACACGACGTTTCTAATAAACTGTGAAGACAATGAGTGAACACATCATCAGTAAGAAGTATGTATACTCAATATTCCGCCTCAAATATCAGCCTAGTTTCAAGCCCACCAATGGAAATGGGAAGTGACAAAATGCTGCCTAGAAATAACTATTACAGACCCTTTGAATGGCCGAAATATGTATCGAACCTTATTGAAGCAGGATTGACTGCCTCCTTCAACATTAAAATTGTGGAGACGACTTTGACTTTCCTTGATCTTTCCACTCCACTTCGAGAATGGACTACTACAGAAGATTAATAAGTTCCTAAATAAACAACTAATAATCCCTGAAATGCGTTCGTCACATGGGCCTATTCCCCCTTTTGAACAACTCGTCGTCGTCGTCGTCGAGGTCGACCGGATCAGTGTACCCGGAGTCGTCGTAGCGGGAGCGATCCGGGGTGCGGGTGCTGATACGGCTGCCCCCAGTAGGACTCCGGGCAGTCAGCCGCAGGACGGGGTCGTCGTATCTTCGGGAGACGATGGTGAAGTCGTGGTGGGCATCGACGAGTTTTTGGAGTCTGAAAGAAACATATTTGAGCTTCAATCAATATGCAAATATAAAATATTGTCACGATCCCTGGCTTCCTGATGGGATAAGACCACTGGATCATCTTTGGGGGTAGCTCATTGGCAAATACGCTTCAGTGTTCCAGGCCGAAGTGTTTGCAATTCTGACGTGTGTCCAAGAAAATTTCGGCAGACGTGGACGTGGACCAGTCACCATATGCTCGGACAGTAAAGCTGCTATTATGGCATTGAGATCCAATAGGATCACAACTAAATTGGTGTCCGAGTGTAGAAGTGCCTTAAAAAATATGGCAAAAACTAGGAAAGTGAGCCTCATGTGGGTTCCAGGACACTCTGGTATCCCGGGAAACGAGGAGGCAGACAGACTAGCCAAGATCGCTTCAGGAATGACACCTATTGGACCAGAGCCGATATTGGGAACACCCAATAGTACGGCTATGTCCTTCATGAAGGAAATGCTACAGAGGCAGTTCCTTGAAACATGATGGGACACACCAGGAATGAGACAATCAAAGCTCCATATAAAGGAACCTTCAAAAAGGCTCACGAGAGAGATCCTGTCACTTAATAGAAGGGATCTCAAGATGGTAGTTGGGCTCTTAACTGGGCACAACCACCTCAACAGGCACCTAGAACTCATAGGGATCAAAGATGATCCCATCTGCAGATGGTGCTTGGAGGATGATGAAACATCATCACACATACTCACTGAATGCCCCGCGCTGGTGCATCAGAGGAAAGCTGCCTTTGGGAGCATTGTACTGCACCCAAAGGATGTGAAAGTGACTCAGCTGAGGAAGCTGCTGAATTTCGTCAAAGAAATCGGCATGCCCAGCTGATTCACAGGACAAGTGGGCGCACAATGGGCCCGACTGAAGAGGCCTGAGTGCAGGGGTCTACGCACCCGCCCACCTGTGCAGAGAAGAAGGAGAAGAAGAGGGTAGCTCAGATAGGGTAGATTATATTAACTCAAGACACTAATAGTTAAGGGGTATGAGAAATAGTAAAAACCATATCCAAAACATAGATACATTTATTAGATTATCATCGTATAGAAGAGGAATCATTATAGATACGACATACAATTTATAAAATGGTTAAATAGTACTTACAATATAGATAGAGCCATTTTCGGAGATGGTCGTCGGGTAGAACGCACAAAGACCTAACTAAACTGATTAACGTGATAATCGACTGTACAAATCGACAGTTTGCACCAACGACAGCAACTATTCAAATACCGATCATCAACTGCCTCCTGGAATATCCATAAATCTATATTTATCTGAAATCTCAAGTACTGTCGTATGTATGTGTATGTATGTGTGTGGGCGGTCCGGGACCTGACGCACTTAGGCCTCCCTTTTCGGGCCCATTGTGCACCCACATTCCTGGGATCGCAAGTCAGCCATGGAGAAGGCCGATCTCGCGAGCAAAAGAGACCAACTTTCTAGGCCAAATCTTTTCAACATCCTCTGGGTCCAGGATACTGCCCCCAAAATGGATATCCCTTGCTGCCACTACTGCCGGGCATTCAGTGAGGATGTGCGTAGAAGTCTCTTCATCCTCTAGGCACCATCTGCATTCAGGATCCTCCACAATCCCGATCGTGCTGAGATGTCAAGTGGCAGTGCCCTGTCAGAAGGCCCACCACCAGTTTCAGCTCCTTTCTGTTCGAAGCCAAGAGGGCATTGGTCTGTCTTCGTGACGGGTTTCCTATATGGAGTTTGGACTGCCTCATTCCAGGATCCTCTGTCCAGCTGTCCTGAAACCTTTCCGTCAGGATTTCCTTCATTCTGAAGTTGCTCCAGGATCGAGTGACCCCTAAGATTGGTTCTGGGCCAATCACTGAACCCTTCGCTCCCTTTCTGGCCAGACCATCGACCCACAAAAAACATACTTACAGACATACAAGTACTGTTATTGTTTGGGTAATTCTTGGTACCTATGTTGCTGTTGGAGGTTACTCAGTCGTTTAGGTTGTTGATGAGTCAATGTCAAAACGTGTTCCAAATGTTTATAAACTTTCGGTGCGATGGAAGAAGCACGATTTGGAATAAATACTCAATTGTGACAATATGAACCTTTATTCATTCATACTAAAAGAAATCGACCAGATCTGGTGCACTGTTTCATTAGTGATATTCTTTCATTCTGAACTGACTGGCACATTTCACTTGAACCGAACTGAATCAGTTGACATGCATTGTACGTAATGAACGTCATTCGAAAGAACGATTCAGTTCAGTTCTAGTGAAATATTTCAGTTAGTTCAGATTGAAAGAATATTACTCTAATCTTTGCGACAGATAGACCAATCACTTTAGCAAAAATGGAGAAAGAATAGCGAAACACTTCAAACTTTCACAGAAGTTGAATTTTAACTATAAAAATGTGCCCCCTTGTACAAGGCCGGCAACATTGTTAAAACTGTAAATATAAACATCCTACCAGAATGAGTCTGTATGATGAAGACCTATGCTGCAGACTGCACGGAAAAAAATCAGAGATGGGCGTTGGACCGCAAAAAACAGATGATTTTTGAGCAACCAGTTGGCGAACCAGGAGTATTCAACTCATACCCAATGGAGGATTTGCACAAACATGTACAAGGTACAAAGATACTGGAGTGGGTTCAATAAAGACAACTAGGTAAGATACAATGAGCCACTAGGCCTAAGTGTTGTCAGAGACATCGTGGTCAGACGAGCATAGAAACGGAGTGGTGGTTTAGTGGTTATATTCCTAGCTAGAGTTAGGGGACATCTACACTTTCATATGAGGGATTACACCCATATCCATGAAGGATTTCAACCCTCTCTACAAAAATATCAAAAACAAAATAGTATTCATATAATGACGAAGGAATCTTGCAAGACATGGTTATTGAACATTCCCACCTGGATTAGAATGTACAAAAAAAATTCGCGTTGTGGTGGTAGTCTGGCGTAGGCAAAGCGATTCTCAGTATCATTGCCACTGTGTGTTTGGAGTTCTGGCAGTGAAAAATTCCGCGTTATGGCCGTTCAAGCCTTCATAGATAGATGAAAGAATCGCACATTCTTGCCTGGAAATCAACTCGTAGTCTGGCGTAGATGAAGCAAGGCAAGGTCATCCAACATTCTTACCTGGAAATTGAGCCGTAGGCTACCGAAGGCAGAACACTACCCCCAGTATCTTAGCCACGGAGTGCACGAAACGTCGAATAGGATGTATAGTTTATGCAAAATCAGTTGGAAAAACACATCACCGCAAGCCGTTGGTCCCTTTGAAAGTTCAGAGAGTGCGGCAGCGCGGTCCGACATTCGTTTGATGATCTGTTCAACTGACTTTGAATCCTTCATAGAAAGCTCAAGGAATCTTGCAAGACAATGTTATCGAACATTTTCACTTCAAAAAAAAATGTCATGGTCAAACCGAGGGTCAAACTACTCCAAGTATCTTAACCACTGTGTGCTTGGAGTTCTCGCACTACGCGTCAATTAAAATATACACAAAAAATTCTGCGTTTTTGCCGTTCATAGAGAAGTAAAGGAATCTTGCTAGACAAGGTCAACGAATATTCTTAGCTGGAAGTCAACTCGTAGGCTACCGTAGGCAGAACGATTACTAGTAATTCAGCCACCGAGTGCTTGAAGTTGTGGCACTATAAGCGTCGATCAGAATATACCCAGAAAATACAGATGATGGCCGTTCAAGCCGTCATAGAAATGTGGAGGAACCTTGCAAGACAAGGTTATCGAACATTCTTGCCTGGAAATATGCTCGTAGTCAGGCATGGGTAAAGCGATCATAAGTATCTTGGCCACGGAGTGCTTGAAGTTGTGAAATTGCGACTCTCTCTTCTACTCTTCGTCTCTCAGAAAATACAGATGATGGCCGTTTAAGCCTTCATAGAAATGTGGAAGAACCTTGCAAGACAAGGTTATCGAACATTCTTGCCTGGAAATATGCTCGTAGTCAGGCATGGGTAAAGCGATCATAAGTATCTTGGCCACGGAGTGCTTGAAGTTGTGAAATTGCGACTCTCTCTTCTACTCTTCGTCTCTCAGAAAATACAGATGATGGCCGTTCAAGCCGTCATAGAAATGTGGAGGAACCTTGCAAGACAAGGTTATCGAAAATTCTTGCCTGGAAATATGCTCGTAGTCAGGCATGGGTAAAGCGATCATAAGTATCTTGGCCACGGAGTGCTTGAAGTTGTGAAATTGCGACTCTCTCTTCTACTCTTCGTCTCTCAGAAAATACAGATGATGGCCGTTCAAGCCTTCATAGAAATGTGGAGGAACCTTGCAAGACAAGGTTATCGAACATTCTTGCCTGGAAATATGCTCGTAGTCAGGCATGGGTAAAGCGATCATTAGTATCTTGGCCACGGAGTGCTTAAAGTTGTCAAATTGCGACTCTCTCTTCTACTCTTCGTCTCTCAGCAGCTGAAGCGAACGATCACTGACGTTCCTCTTTCCCTCTTTACATTCATTCAGATTATTGATACAGGGTGTCCCATTGGGAAACGGAAAAACTTCAACAGTGGGTAGAGCTCATCAAGGTGGTTCTGAATATACCATATTTGTAGGGTCTCGCAAGTTTTATATCCGAGATATAGGGTGTTTTATCAATTTTGTTCAATTCTTCGTGAGGACATAACTTACGAACCACCCAGTATATTCATTTGGAATTTGGTACACAATGCCGCCTTCTTCTACCAAAGCGACTCACCTATCAGTCACGAGAAAAATCCAGGACCGGATCAACGAAAATTGATCATATATCTGGACCCCAAAAATATCACCCTGTATTTTCGAATTTCCGAAATTCGCTCACATATTCGGAAAGTGCATGAAATCTGAATCGTATGATGTATTTTCCATTTTTCCGCATGCTATTTCACTAGGTAATTTCTGATTTTGAATATGAGGTTTCATGCACTTCCAATGGGACATCCTGTATTATTCTCACCTGGAAATCAACTCGTAGTCAGGCATTGGCAACGCCACCCCCAGTATCTTGGCCACCGAATGCTTGAAGTTCTGGCACTGCGTGTCTCTCCTTTGCACCTCTGACAGCGCGTCTTTGGTTCTCGCCAGTTCGTCTCTGAGCAGCTGAAGCGAGCGATCGCTGACGTTCCTCTCCTGGTCGATGGTCTCGCTGGTAGTGCGCACTTGGTCCTTGAGCAGGGACATCTTGCGGTTGTACTTGGTGCGGAGAGACTCCGACTCGATGAGTCGTTTCTGGAGGTCTTCGATCTTCCTGCCGCGTTCCAACGAAGTTATCTGGAATGAATGGATCCTCTTTAGGCGTGATTTCTCAGATGGATGATCGATTTGAATTCTGCGGAAACACAATTGGTTGCACTCGGGATGGAGCAGAGGTTTATGAGAACAGTAGTATAATCCTGGATGGTCATGAGTTCAAATGTCCCCCTGTCTTGAATACTCAGGTTTGTGCAGTGATAGGAAAGCTCACCTGGGCCCAGCCGTTACCACCGATACAACAAGGCCTGCATGCTCCATGGGTGACGTCACTTAGTGAGGCCTAACCCCTAACCAGCGGCTCGAAACGACAAGCGCTTAAAGCGCTATAAGGCGACCGCATATTTAGATTTTAGTTTTAGATCATCATTGAGCCGATTTTGCTGTTTTTTGAAGGGCTTCCGGTTAAAAGAGGATGCCAGTCGTCAACTGAGCCCTTCTTTGCTCCCCATTCGATTTTTTCATGGAAAAAAGGAAGTTTTAAAGCAAAAACCAGGATAAAACACAAATATCCACCTACAGCAACCCATTCGAAATAAATATATTGGCAAAAATTGTGGTGGAGATAAACTTCACACCTACTTATATAGGGCCCGCAGAACATAAAATTATCGTGAGATTGATCGAAAGAAAATTCTGTAAAATGTATTTTATTTTGATTGACATGCCGTTTGTTACAATTACCTATATTTATCTTGGAGAATTCCTATTACCTGAAAAAATAACCAGTGAGTGTTCGTTACACTTGAAACCGTAATTTTTAAGGGTAAAACTGCATTTATCATGCAATGATTTTTTTTTGAAAATTTTTTTCGGTACTCACGTATTTTTGTCTGATAAACCGAATTTTATAATGAAAATGTGAACAAACCACTATTTATTGAGATATTTAAAGAAAAAGTTCGAAATTTCGCCTTCTTTCTCCCCTTGTGTTGGGGGCATTTGAAGCTACTTGCTCTTATTTTGTCATTGGACACTTTATATACTCATGATGTACTTCGATGGCACATTTTTATATAGAAAATTCAACAGGAAATATGATTTTTATGGCGAGTTTTTCATATTTAGTGAACAAGCATTCCAGATGACGACCATTTAATCAATAGTAAATCAAAATACGAGATGTCAAATGTCAATAGATTGCTTTCGAATGACATTACACACGCCATTATTTTGAATGATATTCTTCCTTCTTTTCACTAAATATGGATTAATCTCAAGAAAATCATATTTATAGTTGAATTATATATAAATTGTCCAATATGATGAAAAAAGAAGGGAAATTTGTTCTAAATGCCATCCAGAAGACAGGTGAAAAAGAAAGTGAAATTTGGAACTTTTTAGTCAAATATCTTCATGATAAATATCATGATAAATGCAGTTTTACCTTTTTAAGTAGAATGTTTGTAGTTCATGTTAATATGATAGTTGCAATTTGATCATTGGAATGAATTCTGCATTTATTGCACGAGGCAAATGACCGTTTTCAGAAAGAAATTTGAGAATGAGAATTAAAAATGCCCGTTTATTATGAACATTCAAGAAAATTTCCTCGAATTCAGAGATGATTTTGTTGACTATAATATACGAATACAAAACTAACTGCACAATCGAAGCTTTTCTATTTTTCCTCTACTTACACTTTTTATGAGAGAGTAATTGTCTTCTATTATCAATTCATCATTATAAATTAGGCTCTGTTTGCTACTGAACTCAGATGGAGTAAAATCCTCGCGGTGAATTGCATATACCCACATTTTCGATAGCTCCTCGTCCAACGGGAAACTAAAAGCATGAACTTTTGAACCACCCACATAATTCCCCCGACAAAAGGAAACACAACACTTGAAAGGCATTGTTATTTCGTCGATCACAACACAAAATATTTCACAAAACAGTAATTTTTTCGCCAATTATTTTGATGAATAAACAACAAAAGAATTCGGGACCGTTTCAAAAACATACGTGAATCACCGATGAATTAACACGAACTGACGCGTTAGTCGACAAGCGATAAAATAAAACACTGGCCTCTCTTGGTGACGTCACGAGCTGTTTACGTCAGAGTCTGCTGGCCTTGTTGTATCGGTGGTAACGGCCCAGCACATTGAACTGGAAGTTTCAAAAGCCAATCGGGCCATTGAAGCTCTGTATCCATTTCTAAACATACGAAGTAAATTGGGTTTGAGACAAAAATTTAATATTTACATAATGACTATCGGGCCAACTCTGCTGTATCCCTTGGTAGTCTGGGAATAGACGATGAAATCTCATCATCACCAAATTACAAATACTGCAAATCAAAAACGCGAAAATGCTGACATGGTATGTTCGGAATAATAAAATCGACAAGGATCCGAAACTCCATTCAATCGTATTCGTCATTAGAGAACGAAACATCAAGAATAAAAAAACTGCGGTTCACGAGAATCAGCGTCTCCGAAATGCAGTTGATTATGACCCAGGTGATCAATCAAAGTTCAGAAGACCGAGATTGCCCATAAACAAGACATTATATCAACATTATGACAAAAAGTGCTGTTCTGGATATTGATTTGTCCTGCTATATCAATTTTTTTTTCCAGTCATATCATCTCAGAATGTATCTTTGAGTCTCATTTGGGGCATGAGCAGATGCACTGGTAGGAGAAAGTCTGTATTCAAAATACTGAATACTGATTGATCGCTATGAATAAATCGATCACAGCACTCACCTTATAATCCGCAGCTTCAGCCAGCTGCGAATTCAATTCCCTGATCTGACTCTTCGCTTCAGATAGCTGCAGCTGCAGTCGATCGACCTGCTTCACGAGCTTCTTGACACGGACGTTGGCTTCGTCTCTCTCGCTCTGCAACAGACACTTGGTCTTGACTGTGTCTTCTTGCAGAGACAGCTTCCTCCGAAGCAGGTCCAGGTGAAGGTCTTTCCTCTGGAGCTGTTCCCGTAGGGTTCGTACCCTCCTTTGAAGCTGGTAGACTGCCGCAGTCTGGTGAGGACAAAATGGGATAGACCACAATGGGAACTAGAACTAGTATAGGGATGTATAGTTCATGATACTACGGCGTGTTCTAGAGTGATAAGGTTTGCCTAATTCAACGTGATGGTGTCTATAAGCTATGAGAATATTGGAGAATATAAGATATACTAAGATGGAAATGAGGAGTGACATTTCAACTCAGTGCTCAAGTGGCTCAAATGGCTAATTGGTTTTCTAGGAATATCATCAATGAGCACTTTATTCCAATCATACGTATACCTACTTTGACTTTATTCTATTTCTAATGAGATGAAACTTTCATCTGATGCTCTCAACTTTGAGTTGAGTGCAAAAAAGGAATGCTCGTGTGATCAAAAGATCTGATAAAAGAGTGGTAATAACTGTTCATTGGCTATTCGAGTTTGATACCATGTTTGCGTCTGAGATATGCATCATTTGGTGAGTACTAGTGCTTTATTTATAATTGTAGTATTGAGGAAACAATGAATCTATCAAAGGTTATACTCAAGAAGGCAGAAAACATGATCTATATATAAGTGATAGGCTGATATCAAATTCCGAATATTAGTGACTCCAAAGTAAGATTGGAATCTAATGAATCTATACCTCATCAATAGGTTTTTTAAGAGGATCAAAACAATCTTTGTTATACATAGTAATCTACTGACGGAGAAGCTGCTAACAGATGAAAACCTCATTTTATCATCTACTAACAGATTTTTCACATTGTCAAAGAATCATATAGGTCACGTGCACGATAACCGACCGTGGAGGTGGAATATTGAAACATAACCTCACTCTTCTGTGAAACATTGAAACACAACCTCACTTTTTTATTCGTTTACAGAAGAATCGATGGATTGAAATAGTTTTTAACAATATTTTGGCATACGAATCGTGTTTTTTGCGCTATTGATTAATTCAAGCATGCCCTCTCATTGTGCTGTTTTACAATGCACAAAAAATGCAGCGAGAGACGAAGGAATATGATTTTTCAGGTGAATAGTAACCTCACATGAGTTTCATCATGAAATTTTGTCATTTCTTATTGAAATTCTTTCTTCCACTTCTGCAATAGATAGTAGAGTAAATAGACTGGCAAAAGGCTTCTAGAATAGATTTTCGTGGGCACTTTGTTGCTAAAATGTAAAACCCATTTTTTATCATTCCTAAGACCTTTGCAATGCAAAATCACTTGGTCGTCCAAAAATCGTAGTTGGAGGGGAGTGGGGGGAGCCTTTTTTTTAAAAAAAGCCAATTTTTTTTTTCATCGGTTTTCAGATCTAAGATGTGAGATAATTCATTCCTCGAATTTGCATACCCATCCGGATATCAGAAATATTTTTTTTTAATTTATAAAAATACGTCGCAGCATTGTTGTATATGGAGAGCCTTCACAAAAAACCGCTTGCCCTAGACACCCATATTTTTAAAATCATTTAACTCGCTCTACCTCGAAAAGTATTGGGTCTAGCAAAAAAAGACTTTCTATAAACGTTAAAGACCAAACATCAGAGAACATGTTGTTTTTTTTAGAATTTTGATTGGATAATTGGTTCACGAGGAAATTGAATAAATCGAACGGCATGTCGCGACGAACGGCGGCTAGCGCAGAGATACGGGGAAGGGCGAGATTGCTATGCCTGTGTCAACCGAAAATCCACTCTACTGAGGGCGATGTTGATACGGTCGATTTTACCGTGAATTCACTGTTTTGTTGTAAATTCGAATGCATTGTTCTGGTAGCGCTGATTCTACTGAGATTACTAGTGATGAGTGATCAAGTTCTTGTCTATAAATCATATTATTAAAAGCGAATAATAACTTATTGCTAAGTTAACAATATTTAGAACTTACTTAGTGAGTACAGTTAGTATTTTTTTGTATCCTCTAGAAATGGATTTAACGATCAGCAGCAGCTCTGACAGTGAACTAGAGTCGAAAATCAAATTAAGACTTGCTTCTTTTCGTAAAACTGTCAATGGACAAGACGTTTTTATTCAAAATGTGTGTCTTATTTGTTTGGAGGGAGGAAAGCTGGTTATCTCTCATGAAAAATCAAAAAAAAAAATTCATTGAATTCACGAAAGAACGTATGACAAATTGTCATGATGACAAATATATGCGGCATATATTCTCAAAGTTTGATGAATTAGAAAATCAAAGTTTTTCAAAATGGCACAAAAACCGTTATAAATCGTATACGAGCTCAAAGAACATTGCCTCGTACAAGTCAAAAAATAACAAACTGACAGCTGATTCTCCAGCAGATTTTTGTAGAGCAGATATTTTTCAAAAACGTCCCTTGCGGACACCTTTTGATTCACAAAAGTGCGTATTTTGTCAGGAGCAATCACAGAATCAAAAACTAAGCCAAGTTATGACTCGTAATATGCAAGAAAAAATAAGAACAATATCACGAAGTAACCCTGTGTTTTCTGCGAAAACTGCCGTATAATCAGAAGCTTGCAATACCTGATGACTTTCATTCCCTTAAAGAAATTACTTTGACAAATCAAAAAGAAAAGTACAACCTGAGGAAAATAAACTGATCATCATAGAGAAGGGCGAAATACTTAATAATAACATGAGATATCGTAATATCACGTGGTGCATTTGCAGAATGAGGGACTCTAGTACAGGGTTGGCATGAATTAATTCATATGAATTAAATCAGTGATTTAATTCGTGAATTAATTCCATTGACTTTTTTCGAAAAAGTTATGAATTCATTAAAATTTTTAAAAATGAGACAAATTGCACTATTATACCTTTGATTTTAACTAGTTTAAACTGAAAAGTTCGATCGTATTTTGACAAGACTTTGTTATTTCAAGCATGACAGAGATTTTTACTAACAGATATATACCATCCATAAAGTCCATAACATATGAGAACAGTTTTATTATCACATCATCGAATTTTTTTCTCTCGGCGATCCATTATGCATATCCGATAACTTGAAAATCGATTTTGACACATGTCACGTGATCACTGGTATGGTGATAAATAAAAATAATACTATGAAGCGACGAAAAGTGGGGTTAGATAACAAAATATCCATAAACATTTCTCATTAAGTTGCTATTCCACATTCAGTTTCGAGCAATTCTTGGAGGAGAATTGGAAATAGCTATCTTTTTTCGAATATTCTTAAATTTTGTAACATATTTTTTTTTCTGACAGTAGTGATGTTGATGATGTACAAGTTGAATAGAATTCAATTTCATGCTCACATATGGAGTTTCCAGCCATTATTTGAGAAAACTGAAAATAGCTATTTTTATTTTTTTTAAATAACTCCATCTGGCATCTTCCCATCCAACCCCACTTTTTGCCATCGTAATTTTTTGAATTTACCGCCATACCACTGATCAAGTGACATGTGTCAAAATTGACTTTCAAGTAGTCATCAGACATGCATAATAGATCTCCAAGAAAAAATGTTTCGATATTCTACTAATAAACTTTTTCTCCATGTGTTACGAACTTTATGGATGATACTGGATCTATATGTATCTATTATTTTGTATTCTATCATCACTTTTAATTTTGTTTCGAAAAAATAACATGTTATATTATGATGTTATTCTACAAGATTTCTGAAGAGAATAAAAACATAGCTTTTTTGTTTCTTTTTTCCTATTTCGCTTTGGGTAAATGAAATTTGTTTGTTTTTTTTTTCAAATCAATCAATTCAAAAAAGTCTGACTTATTTCAAAAAGTCGGACTTTGATGACTTTTTCATAAAAGTCATGACTTATTTCAACCCTGCTCTAGTAGCAATCAAACCGTTTTGTGAATCAAAAGGTATCCGCAAGGGACGTTTTTGAAAACTATCTGCTACAAAAATCTGCTGTTCTTTGAGCTCGTATACGATTTATAACGGTTTTTGTGCCATTTTAAAAAACTTTGATTTTCTAATTCATAAACTTTGAGAATATATGCCGCATATATTTGTCATCATGACAATTTGTCATACGTTCTTTCGTGAATTCAATGAAATTTTTTTTTGATTTTTCATGAGAGATAACCAGCGTTCCTCCTTCCAAACAAATAAGACACACATTTTGAATAAAAACGTCTTGTCCATTGACAGTTTTACGAAAAGAAGCAAGTCTTAATTTGATTTTCGACTCTAGTTCACTGTCAGAGCTGCTGCTGATCGTTAAATCCATTTCTAGAGGATAGAAAAAAATACTAACTGTACCTAATACTCACTAAGTAAGTTCTAAATATTGTTAACTTAGCAATAAGTTATTATTCGCTTTTAATAATATGATTTATAGACAAGAACTTTATCACTCATCACTAGTAATCACAGTAGAATCAGCGCTACCAGAACAATGCATTCGAATTTACAACAAAACAGTGAATTCACGGTAAAATCGACCGTATCAACATCGCCCTCAGTAGAGTGGATTTTCGGTTGACACAGGCATAGCAATCTCGCCCTTCCTCGTATCTCTGCGCTAGCCGCCGTTCGTCGCGACATGCCGTTCGATTTATTCAATTTCCTCGTGAACCAATTATCCAATCAAAATTCTAAAAAAACCAACATGTTCTCTGATGTTTGGTCTATAACGTTTATAGAAAGTCTTTTTTTGCTAGACCCAATACTTTTCGAGGTAGAGCGAGTTAAATGATTTTAAAAATATGGGTGTCCAGGGCAAGCGGTTTTGTGTGAAGGCTCTCCATATACAACAATGCTGCGACGTATTTTTATAAATTAAAAAAAAATATTTCTGATATCCGGATGGGTATGCAAATTTGAGGAATGAATTATCTCACATCTTAGATCTGAAAACCGATGAAAAAAAAAATTGGCTTTTTTTTTTAAAAAGGCTCCCCCCACTCCCCTCCAACTACGATTTTTGGACGACCAAGTGATTTTGCATTGCAAAGGTCTTAGGAATGATAAAAAATGGGTTTTACATTTTAGCAACAAAGTGCCCACGGGATAGCACGATAGGATCCCGTTTAAACTCTACTAAGAAGCTAATACTGCTAAAGGATTGAAATTGTCTACAGCACACACGATCATATTTCGTCAGCATGTCAGACCAGTCCTCCCGTTTGATTGCATGAATCCAATTTTCTTGCATTATGTTAAAAATTTCACGAGTATTTGTATAAGTAAATTTCAAAAATGAAAACTATTTTTATGTTAGTGACTATAGTAGGTACTTACTTTCAAATCATAATGTACCAATCGGATTCCTTCGTCTCTCGCTCCTTTTTTTTGTGCATTGTATGATGGCATGAGCGATTTAATGAATAGCCGAGAAGAAACACGATTCCTATACCGAAATAATTGTGAAAAACTATTTCAATAACTTGTAAACAAATAAGAAAAGTGAGGTTGTGTTCCAATGTTTCACCTCCAGGGTCGGTCATCTGACAGTTCTTGCACGCAACTCATAGGCTTGTTAGCATCCTAACCTCATTCATATATTTATGTTCGAATACCACATGCTTCAGGAAAATGATAGATTTTCGTATTCCTAAATAATAATGGTACATTCCGAATAGGTGCCTTTCATCAATTTCACTCAAGAATTACAGAATATCATGTAATCATAAAGGCAACTCTATGCAGATACGAATTCCAAATTCATTGATTAGGTATTTCTGGTTCATTTTTCTCACAGTGTTACCATTATGACTAATAGAATGTTTGGGAGATAAAAATACTCTTACATCGCGTAGAGGTAAATCATGGAAGGACCTTTCACGTCGAATGTGGCAAAGTCTTGGCAAAGTTCCGTATCCACAACAAAGCAGCTACTCACATAAACAACACAAAGGCATGGTTAAAACAACAACGATAAACCATTCGAAAAACTACTAATAATGTAGTTAACATGATGCTGAAGATTCAGAAAATTACAGACCAATAGCTATATTGAGCATATTTTCAAAAATATTGGAAAAAATTTCAAAGCAGCGTCTTGAAAATTTCATGAACAAAAAATATAGTTTTGATAATAATCAGTTCGGTTTCCAAGAAACACAAGTATTACATACAATTCGAGGACTTGATACGGGAAAATACATTGTCGCTATTTTCCTTGCTCTTAAAAAGGCATTTGATACAGTTGACCATGAGAATCTCAGAATACTTGGAATCGATGACACTCAGAGGCATTGTTGAAAATCTTTCGAAATCTTATCTTGCGAATAGGACAATCAGCACTAAATGTAATATGTCAGAGTCTAATGAACAGGGAACTGTTTTAGGGCCCATCTTGTAATTATTATATATTCAGAATATTTCTATAATTGGATTGTCAGGTAATTCTACTATATATGCAGATGGTACTGTACTTTTATATGAAAACAAAAACCCCATCATTTTAAGGAATACTATCAACGAAGATTAGAAATAATTGTAAAAATGGCTTTATTCAAACATTTCATCAATTAATACCAATAAAACTGAATATATAATATCCCATCAGAGAAATAAACACAATATTAGTCTCAATCTGAGAATGAAGTATTGAAAAGAACTACACAAATGAAGTATTTTGGTATGTGAATTGATGCAAAATTGAAATGGGAAAAGCATATAGAGGTTCTGATACAACAAATATCTCCAATCATTGGTGCTTTTCGATGATGTCCTAAAATTGTTAAAAAAGTCATTAACATAGTACTTCATTCTCATATATTCAGTCGTATCACCTATATGATAAACGTTTGGGGATCTTGTTCAAAAAATTATTTCAGGTAAATATCTGCACTTTTTACGGAATCACTGAAAGTAATGTATCTATCGCCTCTCATTTAATATCCCAACAAATGATCAGTATGCCATAACAGGAACATTTTCATTGGATGAATTGTATTAAATAGATTCTCTCAGAGTTTCATATAATATCATAAACAATAATCTGAAATCCAATTTTGTTTTGATAAGAAACTCAGAAATTCATGGTCATCACACGAGACAATCAAACTTATGCGATCTTGATGCTGCTTCTTCTATATTCAATAAATTACCACATAATATAAAAAATTGCAGATATATTTCAAAACTTGAAATTGAATACAAAAAACACATGATTTCATTACGAAATGGATAAAATTAATACGTTGCCATCTACTGACTAGTCCCTGTTGCTATTTTCATGACTTGATCGATGTAGCATTTTTAGATTCATTAGATCTTTTTTGTTGTTGTCAACTTATGTTATTTTATTATTATTGTTTGTAATCAACTTCTTCATACCAGAATTTTATTTCTGACTGGAAGCTATTTCCTCAATAAACAAAAAACAATAATAAAACATTTTAGTCTCCACAAACTATCCAATATCCTAATCTGAGGAAACTCCTTCTTATCATTGGCATTTTATGAATCTTGGAAATGGTTGACTGTGAAAATTTTTAATTTTCTGAATATAAATTTCCATCAAATTAACGACTGGGTAAATTCGATATATCGGGTCAAATTACCTTGTCAACTAATTTCTCACTCTCCAGTCTAGCTAGCTGTTCTGCTCTGAGCAGAAGAGATTCAGTATGCAAATCCACTCCCAAATCATGCGAGATCTCATCCATATTCAGCGCTCTCGCTAAACGGTCTAGGAAGTTCATGAACTGAAAATAAAAATGTTGTATTTTCATGAAAGATGTGGCGTATGTGGAACTGAAAGAACAATTTATCCAGCCGATAAAATGCACTTGAGAAAACTCTCATCATAATATATGGAGCCCATGCACTTCTCTGACAGTGTTTTTGATTCTTATATTTCTTGATATTCATGAGAATAGGATGGATTTCTCATGGCCCATAATGTGGAAGTTGAAAATCTCAGGATGCTAAATTCATTATTGAGTTTCATTATTGAACTAGATATTATATTATCATCATACGGGTTATGAAAACTCAAAGATGCAGCTCAAGGCGGATTCATGCAACATTCATTAAAATTATAGTTTATACAAAGTCAGTTGCACTCTTTGAACTTTCAAAGGGACCGGCAGCTTGCGGTGATGTGTATTTCTAACTGACTTTGCATAAACTATACATTTCCTCTACATTATAATTATATTTTCACTTGCCGTGAGAAACCAGTTCATGCTACTTATGCTCATAATGAACTAATTATTCGAGGTTATGTGATTTGCTTGGATTTTCAAAATGTTTACATGTTATTCAAGGATATTTGTTTATCTTGAATGAAATATGTCATGAGAATCATGAATAATTTTGTAGAAAAAATTGTCAATCAATGATCTAATCTTGCAAATGAGTCGTTTTCACTAGAACTATAATGTAATTATAATGTATAGTTGAAAGTTGGTCAACTTCTTAGATCTTTCAACATTCTTGATTTATAATGTAATGAAAATGTAATTATAATGAACGTTGCATGAATCGGCCTTTACATCTTACAATTCGGTTGAGAACGTATGGAAACTTCTAAATGTCTAACTAGAATAGAAACAGCATGATTGATGCTTTTTTTATACACTAATCATCAACATTCGTTCGTTGAAAAAGTGTTCCGTGCTATTTCGAATTGAAAAAAATACTCTAGGATGAGATGATGAAGTAATTGAACATCACAAACGAAGCACAAGAGCAAAATGAATGCAATGGAGATGTGATCCCTGAATGTTCCTGATAAAAATAGATGGACAAATGAAGTTGAACCGAATAAGGTATAAACAAACAGAGGGATGTTGCAACAGGAAGAAATAAATGACAAAGTAACAAAGAGACAGCTGAACTGGTATAGTACCATGATAAGGATGAAGCCAAGTAGAATGATAAAGAAGATACATGAAACAAGATACACCAAAACAAAGAAGAGGAAGGAGAACGAATAGCAGACATGAAAATGCCAGAGAGGGAGAAATGGAAATACTGACAAAAAATAGGAGAGCATAGACATAATGGAAAATACCTGGAACATTCAGGTATTACCAACGATAGGCAATATGGCTTCCGTCATCAGAGATCAACTGGTGACCTGCTCGCTTACGTCTCACATATATGGCAGCAATCTATTGAAAAATATGGTGAAACCTTAGCCGTGGTCCTTGATATATCCAAGGCATTCGATCGAGTCTGGCACCACGGACTCCTCGCCAAGCTTCCATCCTATGACCTGCCTCCCCAGCTATGTTCTCTGCTAGCTAGTTTTCTCTCAAAAAGGTCTCGCCATGTGGTCGACGGAGTTTCATCTGACTGTCTTATCATAAACGCTCACTATTTCTACTCCATATCAACGATTTGTTGGAAGCAACTTCATATCCGTACACAGCCTCCATATCAGCCAGGCAAATCAGAAACGAACGGGGAAGACATGTAGACAACAATTCTCGAATGAGGATCCAATAACTTGATAGATTTCGATGCAAACAAAACACCTTTGGAGACGTCCATTTAGATGCTTGGTATTACTATCAGCAATAACCTTTCTTGGGAAAATCACGTGAGACCAATTGCTAAAAGTGCATCCCAAAACTTGGTTTGCTGTTTCGGGCCAGTAGCTATTTCACTTCCAGTAAGCTGCTTATGATCTATAAGGCACAGATCCGACCTGTCCTGGAATACTGTTCCCATATTTGGAGTGCAGTACCGAAACATACACTGAAACTGTTGGTTTCTGTCCAAAAAAGGGCAATTCGTCTCGTGGGTGATGCCTCTCGTTCACAAACTCACTCACTTTTCTGGAACACCGTAGAAAAGTTGACGATCTGGCTGTATTTTATAGTTATTTTAATGGACGATGCTCTTCTGAAATATCAACAATTGTTCCTCCCTTGGCAGTCTCCGCGAGAATAACCTGTCGAGTTGAGGCTTCGCACCCCTTCGTGGTCACTTTGGAGACCTGCAGAACATCTCTTTCCAAAGACTCGTTCATCCAACGAACAGCGAGGTTCGGAACATATTGTCAAGGGAGGTGTTCCCCGAGGTATATAACCTCCAGAAACTTGAAAAGAACACCAATCCTACCTTATTTCCCTTGGCTCTCACGATGTTCTCTCATAAAAAAAACAGAAAATTAGCCCAAATCCGACTCTCAAGAGGCTGAATTAAAGGGGAGAAAGCCAGATAGATTAAGTAATTTTCATGACCTCTATCGCAATAAGAATCACGAAAAATAGTTCGATGATACTCACCGTGGATTTGTCCCTTTTCAGTCCATCAATGGAAATTTCGCATGCACTTGCTTCAGCGTCAGCTTTGTGAAGTCTTGCCTCCAAATGATTCTTCTCGTCTTCCAACGAACGGATGCGTGACATAGCCTGATCGTAGAGTGACACGTGTCTGGAGAGCTGTTGACTCTCCTGGTTCAGTTTTTCTCGAAAAGCTTCCAATTGCTATATAAAAAAAGGGTAGTTAAGAGGACGTGATCCAAAGAGGCGGAGTTTCCGAACATCATGCGTTTGTTTCAAGATGCAGATTCAAAATGGCGTTATATACTTCTTTGTCAGAACAACTTGATTGAAATGTAGGAAGATCTTGACACATGTATGAACATATTGAACGGAAACTCACGCTGAAACTGGGTTTTTGTACTTTACAGCTGATTTATCTTTGTTGTCGTCGAGAATTTCGTGGATTCTGTCCTTGATCACTTCTTCTAGAGAATCAACGAATCTGGATGGGGTACTCAGCATTATCGCCAGGGACTCTAAGGTGTGTTTGTAGTCGGCATGAAGACGTTGGATTTTTTCCTCTTTGATTTTCAACTCGTCTGTAAGTTTGGATGCTCTACAGAACTCAATGGCGATAATTGTAAATTGTTTTATTAGGATCAAAAGTGACACTTTGTTTGACAAGCGAATTTGCGAGTCAAACAAAGTCACTTCTGATCCGCATGAAACATGCTATTTTTTCTGCAACCGAAAGAATCATCTCAAAAAGATATATGAAGTAACCACAATGCCGTGCCATATGTATGCAATGCAATAAATAATCCGTTTGGTGAGAATATTCTATCTGCATTAACAGCAGGTTCATTCAATTTTCAAGGATGTTTCAATTGTAGTTGAAATATAAATACAACCACAGAGTGACATACTTGTGTATGGACCAGGTGCTCTAATAGCAAATACCGCGCCAGTGCCATGTATAGGAAAAAGACGTGGAAAGGTTAGTGAGCATATCAACAATAATAATAGCGATTATCAAGTTCTCTCCATACTCCATTGTGTTTGGCTCGATAATTAAATGTAGATGAACAATATCGTTGTTGGAGACAAAAAACTATTGTTGACCGTGATAATTCAAAAACAAGTTATCCATCCCGAAAATAACGAATGAAATACAGATCAAGCAAGTATGTGAATCTTGAAGGCTTCCCTGACCAAAACAAGAATACTTGACTATAATAAGATGTATTTATATATATCCATGGGTATGAAATAAGCATTCCTGTATTATTTAGGGCATTCATGTTTCAGTTTTGAAGGTTGATTATCTAATATAACAGTTCTCTTGATATTCCTGAGATGCAAACTGATATATGATCGAACGCAAAGTACGTTATCTGTGATCATATTAATTGACAGCAAATATAATAGTCTACTCTTAAGGTGGATTCAGGCAAGTAAAATTTAAAACTTAAATGAATTTTAAACTATAACCAATAATATAAAACTATGAAATGTAATGTATGTGCTCATGCAAGAAACTAGAAAATTTAAACTAACATTAAAACTAAGAAGGATGTCCAACATTCAACTAGGAAATTAATTTTTGCTATAATTCTCGACAACGCAAGCGTCAAATGATAACTAGCCGCGCTGGAAAAAGATTAAACAGCTGATGAATGGTTATTGCATGAACACCAATGTATTTTCAATTTGAAATTCATTATAATTCAGTTGATGTTGCATGAATCCACCTTTATTTCAAAAAGTTGACTGAGTTACCATGGTAACGGTGATTCTATTGATGATATTTCTCACAGCAGCCATAGTGGAAGGAGAAGATGGTGTGCTCTAAAGGAAGTTTAAACTCGTCTTGTTCTGCGCATGACCTAAACTGGGATATAACCACATAACTGCCACTGTAATTGTTTTCGCGATCGATGTTCCAATTCAAATATGTAAGTTAGGAAATTGAATTAGATAGTTTGAAACACACAGATATTGAATATTTATATTTTTCCAAGCTTAGAGAACTAATGATGTGAAGATGTGTGGAAGCTTGTTGCCGACTGAAAATTCCTTATATCCTCATTCCAAAGTATTTACCTATCATATCGTCACATTCATATTCCTGCACGTATTTATTCGCAACATTTCTATGCAAAACTTGTTCAAAAAAGATTGAAAGCATAGTTGTTGAATTACACAAGTTCAAGAAACCACAAATATAGAAATATTTGAAACAAGAAGCCATTCCTACAGAACATCTTCCGTCGAATATTAAGTTAGAAATGAAAATGAGTTCAAAAGACTTGATTCCTCACAAAATATAAATTGCAGCAAATATTTGAATAACAAAAAGGCAAAAAATCATACTCCTGTTGTCGATGTCCAAGCAGAAGCAACGTCAACTTCTGAATTTGAATCTGTCAGAATTGACACAATGGCTGATCATTCGATGAGATTGGCAATGCATAATAATTCGTATGTATTTGCTATTTGCGATTGTGAATTACCGCAGGATAACAAATTCCATTATCAATGAAATAGTAAAATCGAAGGAATAGGTACCTATTGTAAATTGAATTATTTCTAGACAGATCGAGGATCTCATAGATATTTCAATGAACTTGATTGAACTCATATCGCACGACTATATGGCAACTGTATCTGTTCTCGACTAGCCAGCTGTAATTGGTATCCCAGATGATGTCACATAATATGCGCGTAGACACACCATCTTCTCCTTCCACTATGACATCATGATACATTATGTCTATCGTGCTTGAGAGGCATAAAAAGGTATAGTTTATGCTAAGTCAGTTGGAACAACACATCAAACTGTGGGTCGTCGTCGGTCCTTTTGAAAGTTCAAAGAGAGCGGCAGCGCGGCCCGACATTGCTCTGATGATCTCTTTCAACTGACTTTGCATAAACTATATTATTCACAATGAAGAATCAACTACACCGGTCGTGCATAAAATGTTGTATGTATTTCGGGCGTAACTAGCTTCTATGGACCTTGGCGTGTTAACGGCCCTAATTTATCGCTCGGGCTATTACTTACACGCTACGGTACATAAAAGTCTATTTAACGCCCTTGATAAGTACCTCTGAGTTGGCAAATCATTGACTCCTGTTGGGCAATGTTCCCTGAAGCACTCCCCAAGCTCCTGTTTGACAATGCCAGTTTGTCTTTCAGCTCATTCAACTCCCTCTCTGTCACTCTGTTTTGCATCTCCACATTTTCTTTTTCTTGTCTCAATCTGTAGAATAAGTTTCATCAAATCATCATCAATTTTGATAATTACGTATAGGTAGGTAGATAGTTCAATGAAGTGTGAAGGGTCAATGAATATTAACGCAAACCTGAGCCCAAAAAATTCAAGCTACTTGGTATTCGTTGAATAAAATGACAGAAACTAAGATTATCAAATACTGATATAATGATACGTTATAATTTGATAATATCAATAATTAAACTATTGATTTTCGGTAGCGACTATAGGTCGGTTAATACATTCCCCAACCTTTTTCCGAGTGAAACACATTGTCACAAATCCACGCTTTTTGTTATCTTCAAGTTATTCACATTTCTTTATGCTTTTCTAACGGTACTAGAATATAAAAGAGCGCCGAAAACACATAATAATAACATGCATCGAGATTGTGCGCAGAACGACCGATGATGTGTTTTGATTGAAGAGAAAGAGGAGTGGGGGGTAGCCCAACCAACCCAGTCACTACTTCGAGTCTCCACTATGTCGATTTTTATTACCATATGCACTGACCTATCGATTTCCAGTATTTGCGCAGCAGATTGACGTTGCAGACATTCTTTGTCAGCGAGCGCTCGTTCAAGGTTTTCCCTGCAAGTGCGCAGGTCGATCTCTACAGTTCCAAGGGTGTCGTGGATGTTTGAGGCCTTCGAACGGAGTCTGGAGGTCTCCTGAAACCAAAATTCAATTCAGCCAGTGTTGTCCTATATGGGAGGGAAATTCCCGTTTTCGTGAGAATTTTTGGAACGTAGAGGGGGAAAGAGATTTTTCTGGAAAAAGGTCGTTTGAGAGGGAGATTTGATAATATCGCCAGGTTCTGAATTCTGAGTAAATCAACGATAGTTGACATTCAACAAGTCATTATTTTGTAATCTGAACACAAAACACATCACGTAGTTATTATTGCTAACTATTTCAAAACCAAGTGATAATAGTTTACTTTGTTAAATACTTGGTTGGTTAATTGAGGAAGTAGAATATTCATTTATATTGAATTTTTGGGAATTCCTCTAGTTATCTCTATAATTTGGAATATGAGTGTTAATTCAATACCTATATTTGAGTATGTGAGGAAAGATCAGATGATTGCCATGGACTTTCTCCTAAATGTCACTGCATAACCACAAAATTCAGAAAAATAGTGGAAACAGAATCTGGAGAACGTTCATCTATTCAAATTTGCCGCAACAATTTTGCGAGGGAATTTTGACAGAAAAGTGGGAATTTTCAGCCATTGCAGAGGGAAATTTCGTCCAGACCATATAACAACACTGAATTCAGTGATGATTACTCTTTATCCTATAAACCATATGGACACCTTTCCTTGAATTTTTAATGACTATTCCACTCTTGGTGTCTAGAATCAATCAGAATCGGCCATTTCCACGGTTTCTTCTGTAGAACAGCGATATATTTTTGTTTACAAACTTTTATAGGACATGCTCTACCAATACAGAAGCCGAATTGACCCGACCTATCTTCCTCATTTTTCAGCCATAAAATTTTGGACGTTTGAAAAGTCAATCATGTTAAAAGCCAGAATGATGGATTCAGTGTGCGCAACTCTCCCAAGCCGCCTGTTTATTGTCTCAATCATGGAATATTCATATGAATACAACTCGTAATACTATTTTTCCTTGAAATATTCGTCGATTGACATACTCCAGCTAGCTGCTTTAATTTACCTCATGATATTGTTCCAAAACTTCTCGCATACGGTTCGAAAAATTTGATAATCAATGTCATTCGACGAAATAATTAGGCAACAAGTTGTCGTAACAATCACCGAATATTACCGGCCAAATAATATCACTAGTGGTATTACACATGACAAATTGATTTTAGAGCTAATTTAAGTTAGTTAATTTAGTGATTCATGACTGATTATCACCTGGACTAGCTCTGCAGCTTTATGGACCAATGTTTCAGGTGATACGTGTGAGTAGTCTAGTATTTCTGCACCAAGAGCCACCGAGAGCCTCCTAACGAAATCTTGCAACTGCTGCCTGGCCGATTCTTTCTTTTGCTCCTCAGCAGTGAGGTCCATTTCCAGGTTCCTGGCTCTGGCTTCGAGCTCCTTGAGTTTTTCTTCGTTGTACCTTCAAAAGAAAAAAAAAACTTGTTGAATGAACAAACAGAAGAATTATATAAGGAATATTGAGGAATCAAGCACTCTAGAAGCTCAATAGAAACAAATGACGTCATAGTTCCAGTCATGGAATCCGCATACTTTATTGAGGTATAAGTTATGACGACACATAGACTCAACATTCAGAGACTATTGATCGACATTCGAATGTCATCTGCCAAGAAACCAAATCGTTCAAGGCTATATTACTGGAGACATCTCTTGCTCAATAGTGCAGTGAATCAACCCTATCGTAGAAAATATTCAAGCAGCCCGTTTCTCTACGGTTTTATACTGTGTGTAACGTTTTGGTCCACCCCACCCCTGTATTCCTAGGGCGATTTGAAAATATTTTCTTCTCATATATTGCTCAAGATTATCTACTTTGTCGAGCAATCACAATTTCTTAGCCTAGTGCGGTCACAAAAATTGCAGCATATTTAAAGAGAACGGATCAGGCATTTTTGTACAAAAATTATTTTTATGTAAGCAATCCTTCCGGACTAGTCACAAATACTTCTATATAATGTGTTGTAAGAAGCATATTACGCACGAATGGCGAAGTTACATGTTCCATGAGTGCGTAATTGCTTTACAACACGCGTTAGGTACTGCCATATAGTACATCAAGAAAGTTTGGACAAACAGTCTGAATTATAATTCTTGACAGTTATGACATCTGCTGTTGACGGCGATTACGCGATCATGACATGCGGAATGAACGAAAACTGTGATATGTGCTCACTGTGCGTAAAGAGCTACTCACTGAGGTTGTATTCCTGTGTGTGTTCTTGACTACTTTCTATAGTGGCCGTAGGTAAAAACAATATCTCATTCGGGGTGTTTTTTCATCAACCTTTCAGTTTTTGAATAATTTCACTTTTCAATTCACTGTGTATGAAATTTAAGAAAGGAAAATGCAAGACGTTTTGACAATAATGAATACTTGCAACACAAGAGAATCCTAAAGTTGAAAAAACTCGAATTTGTCCAATCCGTATCTCTGTAATTATTTCCGCTAGACCCATTGAAAAAAACAGCTCCCCAGGGAGAATCGGGAATCTAAAGATGCAATAAAATACAGGGTCAATTTTAGAGCTTCTGGCCACTTTTTCCAGTGGCGTAGAAGTTGGGGAGAAAGACACTAACTACCACTACAAAATCTTCAGAATCTATGGATCACGCACAAAACATAGCTTATTATGAGTAGAATATGCTTACGAATGCTGTTTTCTGTGCGATAAACGGTTCCAGAGATATTCGCAGAAAATGATTTTTTCTTCAAATTTCAACACCATCTATCTCGAAAATGTTGTATTCTAGAGGGTGAGTTATGAAGACATTTTTTCCATCGTTGTCGGACAGCTATTACATCCTGAAGTCCTGCGCCTATTCCAATGCCCCCTCTGATAATGTTACTTAACATAATCGTCTCGGGTATCATCGACGTCGTTCGGCTCCTTCGGTGACCACAGGCCGACAGGGTCAGCCGTGCCAGAGTAGTGAAGCCGTCCGCCATTGTTATTGTGCAAACTTGTATTGAGTGACATTATTGTAATAATCTGTTCTTTAACATGTGTGTGTGAATGGCGTCGACACTCGCTTGTGTTTTATCGTTATGCCATTTCGGTCGAAGAATAAATTGATCACTTGAAGTGAAGCGCCATCCCAGGATGTGTTAAAGATATCGAAGAATTTCAACTAGTAAAACGGATCTGAAATTGCAGGTGCCTGTCAAGTCAACCAAACTGAAATGATGAAGGGAGGTGTCGAAAGAAACAGCATATCACACCAATCCAAAATACAATATTATAGTACCTATAGTGTTCTTGAATATAATCACATTCTGAATAAATATAACAACCAGAAACATATTCCATTTATTGACCAGATCTTATTCCCATACATAATATGAATGCATACATTCAGAACATCCGATAAAATTCACCATATGGATATCCAAGACAAATACCATGCATATGGATGTCCCTGACAAATAACATATAGATGCCCATGACGGATACCATATAAATAGGTAAAAAGTTGGAAACGCGATATCCTATGGGTGTAAATACGTTATCTAGTGTACACAAACTGGATGTCCTATGGATGTCCAAGATGTCCAGAGGAGGATGCATAGGACGTCCATTCGATCGAGTTGTGTTATAAGGGATGGCAGTAGGTACAATATAGTACGTTATGCGTGTTGTGAAGTAACTACGCACTCATGGAATAACGCACTCGCGGCTACGTGCGTAACTTTTCCATTTGTGCGTTATATGCTTCTTACAACACATATTACGTAATATACTATTTATTGGCCCAATAAGAGTTCCACACCTACCTGACATCCCTGTGCGCAGTCTGCAGCGCCACCTCGTGTCTTCCCTGCGCAGCCGTCAGCCCCCGCTCGCGCTCCTCCAGCTCGTGCACCCGCTTCTTCAGGCCCTGCACGATCGCGCCCTGCCGCGCAGCCTGCTCGCGCAGCTGGTCCGTCTCCAGCTGCAGCTCCAGGCAATGCTGGTCGCGCGCGCGCACCTGCGGATCGTTTTTCGTGCTCGAAATGACGGTGCTATGCGCTTCACGTGAGTGCATAACACTCATCATAACTCATACGATATTTATAGCGAATTCCATTGGTAAAACTGGCTCGCACTGAGTGCATATTTTGTATTCCACTGGTAAAACTGGTGTCGGGTTTTGAATTCCATTGGAAAACTGGTTCACATAGTTTAGAGCTCGGTGCAACAATTCTCGCACGAGCTCTAATAGGTCGTGCGAAGTCAGTGCAGTTTGAAAATGGCGGAAACATTGAATATGAATAATTTGTAAACCAAATTTATAGTGGCAATCCAATCATCATCATCGAATAGTGATGAAAAGTTGGAGGTTTCAAAAAAATAAAGGAGCAGATTACTTCCCAGAATTCATAATTTTGTTGAAATTATATTGCGAATTTAATGATGAATAATTAAAATTCAAAGTGCTCAAAATCGTTTCCTTAAAACATCTATTTTGTTTTAAATTGAAGTTAACAACTAATTTCAGGATGCGGACAAGTTATACACAAAGACTAACCAACTTATCCGATTTAACCTCCAACAATAATTTTATAATAATATTATTTCGTATTCCATTGGGAATGCACCAGTTCACATTTTGGAGAGAACTAAAGTAGTGCGGGTGCAAAGCTGGTGCAAAACCAGTGCACCACCAGATTTACGGATGGAAATCGTTATTGAGTATTAACCTAGTTAAGTAAGAGTCCCAATCAGGGCTGCGTGATATTGGATTTCAGATATCGATTATCAATAAGTCAAAGAATATCGCGAAATGATGGTGCTTTGCGCTTTTTGAAAGTGTATAACACTCATATATGATATTTCGAGTGTCAGCCATGTGAAATTAGAGTCCTAATTAAGGCTGCGTGATATTGCGATTCGAATTTCACATATCGATCATCAATAAGTGGAAACATATAGCGAAATGATAGTGCTTTGCGCTTTTCGAAAGTGCATAACACTCATGCGATATTTCGAATATTATAGTCTTGTGAAGAAAGAGTCCGAATTAGGGCATCGCGATATTGGATGGATATATAGATGTCAGAACATATTGCAAAATGATGGTGCTTTGCGCTTTTCACAAGTGCATAACACTCATACGATATTTTGAGTATTAACCTTGTGAAGTAAGAGTCCCAATTAGGGCTGGGCGATATTGGATTTCACATATCGATTATCGATGAATCGAAACATATCGCGAAATGATATTGCTTTGCGCTTTTCGCATAACATTCACATGATATTTCGAGTCTTAGCCTTGTGAAGTAAGTCTCAATCAGGGCTGCGCGATATTGGATTCCACATATCGATCATCGATAAGTCAATACGTATCGCTGAATGATGATGCTTTGCGCTTTTCGAAAGTGCATAACACTCATACGATATTTCGAGTATTTGCCTTGTGGAGTTAGAGTCCCAATTAAGGCTTCGCGATAGTGGATTTTGGATTTCACTTATCGATTATCGATAAGTCAAAACATATCGCGAAATTATGTTGCTTTGCGCTTTTCTAAAGTGCATGACACTCATACGATATTTCGAGTATTATAGCCTTGTGAAGTTGTTAGATTCCAAATTCACGGATATATAGGTGCACTGTTGAAGACTTTTGATGTGTCAGTACTCAGTTCCGAAAAATAAGCCAATAACACCGTGTCCGAGAGAGAACTGGAAGCCTTTTTTATCTTCTACAACCACTTGTTCGCAATTTTTCAAAATCAAGACACAAAATCACATTGATACATATTCGATTACTTCAGAAGGTTTCCATAGCAACATGAAAGATACCTACAAAAAGAGACATATACAAACACAGGTGTACTACCAGTTGAAAAGTTCAAATATCATATCGATAATTTTCTGATTTCATTATAATGTAATATCTTCTCAATATTGAATCGTCACAGAAAAAAATTGTGTATTTCCTATACAAGGGAAAATATTATATTTTAGCTCTCGGTTTTTCATGTCCCTCCGCTACGCGTCGGGAGACAACACACACTCGAGCAACAATCTAATACTTTTTTCCCTTCTATAATAAATTACTATTATTTACCATATTTTGACTTGATATCAAGAAAGCACCCTAATTTTAAATCGAAAATTTTCGCGTCAAAATATCAGCTTCTTCAAAAAAGTCGATGTGCTTGTGGTTAATGTTCTCAGAAAATGCATAGAAATGGAACAGAATCTCCTTTGAACCCAATATTTATTATTCAGAACAACTATTAAAATGTCTTTTGTGCATCAATGTAACATGGAATCTAACGTTTATTGCGAGTAATGTGTTAATTTTAATAAATTGCTCAAAATTGTACATAATGATAAAAAAAAATTTGGATTCGAGTTTCGTTTCTTTTCATTTTTTGAGAACATTTACCATTTTTATTTTTTATACTCCATCAAAAAGAAGAGATTTCAACAAACGGAAAGCCGATCGATATTTTTCTTTATACATATATTAGATACATATTGAAAAAGCAGATATTTTCACGTGAGAATTTTCGATTGAAAATTAGGGTACTTCTTCGATATTGAGTCGAAATATGAAAAAAAATTACAGTGTATATGCGACATAAAAAGGTGAGTTTTCACCAAATTTAGTAAAAACAAATTGTATTTGGAGAAGATAAAAATAAAAAACGAAAAACTTGGTTATTTGAATTTTTTATATGAATTTTGAGGTTATATGAGATTTTCCATCACCTACAACTTTGCCTTTCATTCTTTTTTCATAGGGCTTGTAGGTTTGCCAGCTACCAGCTGCAGCTCCAAACAGTTCCCAAGCTGTTGATTTTGATGGTGGTGAGTTTTGATGTTGACTCAAAGACGGTTGACGATAGAATGTGGTTTATTTCCCAATTGATTATAATAATCGATTATGCTGAGGTGGAAGTGCATTGCACTTCAGTTGTACTTTGTTCGCTTATTTCAAATCAAATTGTTGTGCAAAGTTAGAGTTTTGCTGAATAGTAGGTGGTCACCTAACCTAACCTAACCTAACCTTGACCTGACCGTTTTTTTTTTCATGAGTGTATTGTTGAGAAGCTGGTCAGCTTCCAGCTGCAGCTCCAAACAGCCCGCGAGATCGTACCTGCGAACGCATCTCTTCCAGGTCGGTGGTCAGGCGGTCGCGTTTGTACTGCAGCGCAGCTATCTCGCTGCGCAAAGAAGTGGTGGCGTCTACTTCAGGTTCGTCCATCTATAAATAAGATAAGAATTTATTTGTCCTCAAGTTACAATATTACGTGGACTGTAGACAACACACATAGAGCATGTTCCGATATTCCCGAACAGTATACTGCCCAGTATAACAAAAATGTTTTTCAACGGCTATAACACAAAATTGTTCTACTTAGGGTCTCTTGATGAAAACTGACGTGTTTGCCATCTAACAGGGTACGGAGAGATCATAGCTCCTTTCTCTTTTAATCATCTAGTGACATTGGTTTCGTGTATTGGCGTCCCTTACATGACATTGCTGTCACGTCACATACATATAGGCGTTGAAAGGGATCTTACAAAATTGTTATTTCATACTTGATCTTAAGAGGACTTTAACCCAAGTTCTGATCAACAGTAAAACAAGGGTTGGCAAAAATCATATCACTCGGAGTTCGTTCGAATAATTCAAGATGTTTTTTCACATTTCGGTTGAGAAAGGTTGAATCTCGGCATCTCTGGAAATAGTTTTTAGATTTTTTGGGAAAAAAATGTTGAAAAATTGGTTTCGAAATCCTTCAAAAATTACGCCGTCAATATGATTTTTGCTGAACCCCTGCAGACCTTATAATTGAACATTTAACACACATGAATATATTATGCCATTTATATTAGGATCTTATGTATGAATAAATATTTCATTCATAAAAATACTAAATGATACGGGAAGCTCATCGAAAAATTTTAGCACGGGAGATGAATCGATATCAGATCTGATTTCAATTCCTATATCACACCTTTAGATGATCTATTATTTATATAGGTATGTACCTGGGCAGAATTTTCAACTACTTCAATAACTATATATCAATACCAAAATATTAAGATTGGTTATGTCACGAGTTTTTCTCTTGTTTTTTTCTCGACTTTATCGTATTCACGAATCGGTCATGCACCCTAATTGGCGATAAAAAACGGTGTTATATTTTTTGCGACATTATTCAATTCTGTTTTGGAAGGATGGTAAAATGTGCTGCGTTAGGCTGTATCAATCAGTTGGATGGAAAATTTGAATTTGTCAGCTTTCCATCAAATGCAAATGAACTTGGAACATGGAGAGTGAAGTGACCCAATGGGGAAAATCAGCAAAATATTCTAGGTAAAACTAATATGAAATCACATACTATACTTTCTCATTGTGCCTAATATTATCCACTCCACAAGTTTTTGAATGCATTTCAGTAGAAACAGTTTTGATTAAAACGGAGGATTAAAAGAAGAGGCATATGCTCTACCATTACAAAAATCATACCTGCTCCCAGGAAATATTAGGTGTTATTGAAAAACTGCAAAGATGATTCCCAACATGAATATTATATACAGGCACATTAGTTTAAATACCTACATACAATTTTTCACCATTTCTCAACCATAAGGCTTAGTCTGGAATCAACATTAATTTATTGATAGGTACTGCCTAAGAACAGTCCCATTTGGTAAAAAAATCAAAAACTCGAAAATAATCATCATCTTTTGGATATAATATGTAGAGTTGAATGAGAAATTGCATGTGAAAATTACGTTTGATACGCCAATGTCCTCAATATAACCTAAAAAACAACAAATCTAGTGTTTATCCCCAGAAATGAAAAAAGATGGAACTATATAACTGTTTCACAAACACTTTAGAGTGAAAGGAGACGAGGATCTGTCCGTAGCCTGTTATAAGATGACAAATACGTCAATTTACATCAAGGGACCCTAGTTTTACTGTGTTCGATACCTCAATGAGGTACTTTGTATGTCATCAATTTTATTTCCGTATCTGATTTCACAAAAAAAAAACTCATCGCCAAGCAATGACAGTTCTGTCTAATAGATGAGCATTACTTGACAGGAAATCAGATGGCTACAAGACGAAGAAATCGAAAATGCCGCTGTTATCTATTATAGCCGTAGAAAAATAATAGTGTATAACTTGCACGGAATGCTAATTTCCTACTCGAATGATTGCAGCATTCGCCTATGGTTCATGCTGCAAACTTCATTCTCGTAGGAAATCACTATCATTCCGTGCTCGTTGAACAATATACTATTTTTTTATGTAAACATTGAACTCTTCTCACGTACAAACGATACATTTTGGTATGTAAATAAATTGGGTCCAATTCAAGCGTACAATCTACTTATTTTTACCTCTATTACAGTCAGTGTCCTTACAATTTTGGACACCCTATATAGTCGCATCTGGAAAGTACACAGAAACTGGCAAGGCAAATTCAAATAATAATGAACTATGCAGACGCCTGGTTTTTATAATATAAGTAAATGGATACATTTTATATGTCTAGTATTTATCTTTGTAAAGCACTAAATTCTTCAAGTCATCAGGTAACCTCTGTTTCAGTTAATCATATTATCATTGAATAATGTGAATTCACTATAGAAGTTCAGAAATTAACAAAATAGCATGTCCAACACGGAAAACCACCTGATTTTGTTGGGATCTTCGGGATCATTCAACTTCTTTGTTAATTTCTCACACCTTTGATCTATACTCCAGATACTCACTCATTTTTCATAGATCTTCTAAGATGCCTTCAGGAGTCAGGAGAAGTGATCACTACTTCATGTTCAAAACTAGGTAAATAAATGGGAAACAAAATTTTAGATTGCGTAAAATCAATATTGAGCGTTTTCATCCTGGTACGGCAGGATCCTTCAATGACATTATGCGATATTCCTTGAAATTGATGTTTTTGTATCTTGATGCACCCACGAAGTAGCACAATGAAAATGGTTATCGTGGCTACGAGGGGTAAATGTAAATCTCACATTTTTGCATATGTATATAACGAAAACTGAAACATGAACTATAAAGGGTAGATATTCGATCACAATCGGATGTAGTTTATTGATGATGTCACACTCAATAATTCCTTACTGTCACTGTTCTATAGAAAAAGAAAAATATTCTTAGGAAATTTCGGTATCATTCCATCAATAGCAATATCAGTCAGAGGAACTTGACAAACTCAGTCAGCACATTATTTTGTCTTCAACCTTGAGATATGTCAAACAGATCTCTACCAAAAATCGTTTTTCTATACTCCTCTGTCTGAATAAGGAGTATTCCCAAGAAATCATAATCTCTAAAAGTATAAAGACATTCCCAATTCCCAATAATACCTCCTTTCTCCACCTTTCCTAGTACATACGATATTCCATAAATATAATAGAGTTTTCTTTCCGTGTGCTCTAGAAAATAAAACACTATTTCTGATGTGGAATAACATGATTCACCATTTTACTACAACAAATTATTATTTTTTTACATTCGAGAGTATCCATGCATTATTTCTGACTAATTCTTCTATTATAGACCAGACTAGATCTACTCTATTGGAATCTGAAGAAACAATCTCGCAATTTGTAACCTTGCTGCCTTGGACAAATCAAAAATATAAGCTATTTTATTGCCGTGAACTCCCAAGATTCCATTGTAGAGTTATCATCATTCCTAGAAGTTAATGACTATCAAATGGAACCTAGTCACATGGTTCGATCCTGAAAAACTGTTGAAGTGATTTCTGCAATAGGCCTAGTAGCTCAGTAAAACGGTACCGATTAGGACCCAATTCGGGGAAAAATTCAATTAGTCGATTTCTCTGAGGTTTCATATGTTTTTGGAGGTGCTGAATTCAAATCTGAATTTTGCAAACAAAATTTCCTGGAGCGTTCCGAGATATCAGCAGAAAACAGCGAAATTTTCGGACTTTTTTCGGTTTTTTGCCCGTAACTCGGAAATCATACATTATATCAAAAATACCGCCCTATAAGAAGTTAAAGTAGATGAAATTTTCTAGCTAAAATTTTCTTGCTCATGAGTGTAGAACTAGAGGGTGCGGAGATATAGCCAGTTGAAAATTGACCAAATTTTCGTACTTTTCAAAAAATTGCGTTTCTAGTCGGTTTTCGTCGATAATTCATATTTTACGTATAACTCAGAGACAGAGCATCATGCATATATCGGAAGAGCATCAAATTTCCCATCGAGCTCATGTAAATTTTTTCATCATTATGAAAAAAGATGAACGGCTGCAACTAACATGTTAGAGCGCTCGGACTTGGAGACGTCTTTTAGTCGTAGTTGCCACTTTTTATCCTTCCGAATCATATGATTTGAATCATATATGAACCTATATTCATTAAAGCTCTAAAACGTATAAATAGGTCATTTTTTTGTTTTTGTATTCTGTGGGGTGGGGGACAAAAAAAACTGTACGCTGGAATTGAAGTTGTTATAATTGCAATACAATAATTCCAAATGCTATAGGGTATCCTTTGGACATAAAAAAACTGATAATTTTTTTTTATCGATTGGAGCGCACGAAAGGGAATCCCTGTAATGTTCAAAGAACATCGTGCGTTCCTAGGGAGGAACGTATTGGCATTTTTTTTGAATTTTTGGAGATTATATGTTGTTGGGAATACTTCCACAGGCAATGAATTCCAGAGCCTAGCCGTTCTATGGAAGTATCAGAATCTACTCTCGCTCGTGTGGGTTCCAAAGCGTCAAGGGAATGAGGCAGCTGATCGCCTAGCAAAAAAGTGCAGAGCTCACATTTTACCTTTCTGTGAGACAAGCAAAAATGCCACCTTATCAAAGAGCTCAGAAAATGAGAATGAAGTGAAAAATCCTACTACTGTTGAGCAACTCCAGGTAAACGAGAAGGAAAGAGTTCTTCAACAATTAGTAAGCTAGTGAGTCTCAGCAAACAAGAGCTGAAGCACTACCCTCTGAGCTATTACTAAAAAAAATGGGTCCATAGGAGACAGACACTAAACCGCGCAGAACCTTTGTTCATGTAATGTACCAGTCCGCCAAAGGCTGACTATCCTAGAACAGGTCTAGATAACTTGATTTTTCTACTCCGTTAACGAATAACAAGAGGCAGAGGTAAGAAAAACAATATTCTTCCTAGTGGATGTGAATATACTTAAGTACAGTGACAAGTCGAGAGTCATGAGTTACATCGTCACATGCTGCCAGAGGTAAGCATTCACATGGTTAGGACTCTTCCATAGTATAGTTCCAGTATAGTTCCTTTCTTCGAGGAATGCGTAGATTTGGAATTATCTGCGAAAACCGACGAAAAACGCATTTTTTTTAAAAGTACGCAAATTTGGTAAATTTTCAACTGGCTCTTTCTCCGCACTCGTTGGTCCTACATTCATGAGCAATAACAATTATATTTAGGAAATTTTATCTACTTCAACTTTCTAAAATGCGGTGTTTTCGATATAACGTATGATTTCCGAGTTACGGGCCAAAAACCGAAGAAAGTCCGAAAATTTCGCTTATTTTTGTTATATCTCGGAACGCTCCAGGGAATTGGGTTATGGAACCACAGAAAAACAGACTACTTGAATTTTTTCCAAGTGAAAATATTATTTGATTGGACTATAGGTACCTAATCAATAATACATGATTTTTATATGGAAATTGTTCAAACAGAGATCGACTACTACCGTAGAATTCGGATTACTCTACAACCAAAGGAATTGCACCAAAACAACTCCTTCGTATTCTAAAAGGTCAAGGCATCCTTTGTCCACAGTTCACTACTTAGGGGACATCCAGTAGGTATACTCACTTTCATGTCTTTACAGAGCACCTCAAAGATTTGCCAGTCCTCCTCCGTATTCCCGGATATCACCGACTCAGCTGGTGGTACCTCCATAGTCCTTTTTGGTCCATAGGCCCTTTTTGTCGGTTATCCAACACAAAGAATCACAGTAAAGGTACGCGACAGCACAGGTATTTGGGAATAAAGGAAACGCTGGAATATATGAAAACAAACCAACGTCATAGTGACGATATGGTAAGATCGATACCAGCAGTAGGTGGAATTGGTTCATTCCGTGTGAAACTCGATAAAAAGGGTTGATGATTTTGCAACATGATAGGTAGAGCTGGATGAAAGTCGTTTTCATAATATGTAATGCCAGGAAAGCGTCAATGAAAAGTAGAAGGACTGATTGGAATAGTTATTTAATAATAATAACATAATAGTATAGGTATCAAGGTATCGTCTTTATTATTTCCATACATAAAATAAACATCAATCTTATCATAGAAACTATGACTGGAAATAAAGGACGAAGTTCATTTCCTGTAAATCAAGGATTTCCAGATGATGCTCCTCCATTTAACCCTTCAAAATAGAAAATATATGAATAACGATCTATAGGTATCCCACTAAACATGTAATGTTACAAAATATTGCCACAATATATTGTGAAGCCTTCTTCCGTAATATGAAAATACAATATTGTATCTATTTTGTGTTGACGATATAACAGAAAAACTTACTGACAAATTGTTTGTAAGTTACAAAATGACCCTTTCAATTAAGTTTCAATAGCAATTTTGCATCAACTATATATTCTCATTGAAATTGCAACATTACATGGATCAACTACGAACAATATCAGTGCAATGTTACATATGGAATTTTCAATTGTAATGTTGCATCAACATTGATACTTCATTGAGTTTGTAAATAACATGAGGTAACTACAAACAATATTGCTACAACTTATGAGATGCAACACATATTTGAATAAAAAATGTAATATAGCTGAAATATACAAAATGCTACATTCCCTAACAACACGAGTACATCCTAGGGACTTCCCAGGGACGTCCCTAATTTCAAATAAGGACATCCCAGGGATATCTTTTCTGGGACAAAGTACATACTAGGGACGTCCCAGGGACATCCGCTTTCAGACAAAAAGGACATCCAAGGGATGTCCCTCCTGGTACGTCCCTGGGATGTACCGAGTACAAAGGAGGGATATCCCTAGGACGTCCCAAGGATATCCCAGGGACATCCCTTCGACAAAAGAAAAAAAAATGTAGGTCTAGTTGGGATTGAACCCGGGACCTTCAGCTTATCAGGCACGCACCTTACTCCATTGGCCAATATGCCTTCTGAAGATTCATGTATTGAACAGATTTATAAACAGGACAACTACAGAAACCTGGATAAATAAAACTATTAGGATTCGGGTATAATTATTATCATTCTTGGGTGTTTGAAAATGAGGGGCATTATGCATTTACGATCTCTGTTTGCGAAAAATGGTCATTTCTTGAGAAGTTTTGAGACTATATTCTTTATTTTCATCACAATTATTTTCCGGAAGAAATATATTTTCGAAAAAATTCGACTCAATATTTTGATAATATTGAATGACTCTCTGATGTGAAGAATGGATATCAGATATTCCAGGGACACGAATGGGATAACCTAGGGATGTACCGGGTGGGATGTCCACTGGACAACTACTGGCGGGACATCCCCTGGATGTCCCAATCATTTCCTTGTACCGCGGGACATAAAAGGGACGCACCTAGGACATCCCTGTGTTGTTAGGGTTGGGTATCGATCGAGAGACGCCATTTCATGAAATGCCTACGCGCAGTCGCAAACTTGCTTTCGACAAACGCCACTATCTTAGTCGCCATATTTGTTCGTGTTTGGCTTCGGTAACAGGTATTTTGTTGTTGTACACGTCCAAATGGCAAATGATACCAATAAATAATATACTTTCGAACATAAATTGAGGTATACCTATGCGGTGATCTGGCGATATGTGATATTAGGCAGTTGGGAAGGTTTTGAATCGCAGTTAGCAGTTGATGGTTAGGTAAGTCAACATCAACATTATTCTAGGTTAGGTATACATTTTACGAATTCATACATCGTTCATTGATCTAAGCGGATCGTTCGATCGACAAAAAATAACATGGAATGATTATAATTATTCGTATACCTACTCAAAGTTATAGGACAACCTCGTGAATTCCTTTGAGTATGCAGTCAAAGTGAATCAAAGTGTACCTACTTTCTTATTGTTTCTGTTTGAGCTTTCGGGTCTTTATCGGCTCTTCATCAGGAACTCTATAAAACATTACAAATTATATGAAATCAATTCTTTTTATTACTGAAACACTTAGGGACATTGAGGTTTTGTTTAACCTCATAGTGATAGTAGAATCATTGCTCGAATCATCAAATCTTATCTCTCATTTTACTGCACTTAGCTGTTGTAGAAAAAACTTTGAGCTCGCACTCACAATTCATTCTAAAACGACCTCAAATATCGTTCTTCAGAATATTCTCTAGATGCTGAGAAATATTCATATTATCTTCAGTGTATATTATGAGGATACTCTCAGCATAGGTACCTTGGAAAATGAATATTTTCAGAATCAAGTTTAACCGGTAGATGAACTAACTCAACTAACAGGTAGATTCCTGACTATTTTATTTTATCATTATTCCCTTTGTTCCAGGTTCTTATGAAGTGCAGTGCCTATGAGACCTAGTACCGTTATATGAAAAATATTTAGAAATTTTTTCAATCTACTTTTAAATTATGAAATAGTCGACACGATTATTCGATTATTAGAATATTGTTACTATGTATAATTAATAATATAAAATATGTAATTTTCCTTTACTTTTTATTTTATGTTGCCAGTTACCTTAACAAAATATAACAATAAGATTACATTCGTTCATTGAGTATGAAATGTTACTTTACTTCATACACAATGTTACAATATACTCTGCTGGAATGATTCATTTGCGAACATTACATTCATAATATTGCTGAACCTCCGTTTCAGTAGTTGCTTCGACCTTGCAGTAAGATAGCGACAATATCTGATGTAACATTACATATAACATTGAAATATTGCTGCAATATTGTTGAGATATTACTTTGCTTAGTGGGATATATAAGTACAATAAATGTTAATCCAACGATTCAAACTGTGCATACAATTTATTTCAAATTATGCCATTTTACTAGATGATTTTCATTCCGTTTTTTGCATGATCAAATATTACTTTTATTAAACCTAGGAGTGGAACAAATAGTTGTTTGTTGTTAATTTGAATTTGTTCGAATTTAGAGCTTTAAATGTTTCTGGTAAAGAGTTGTACATGCTGAAAATTTAATATTTGAACGACCGTCTGTATAGTTCTGTTCTGAATGTAGATATTGTGAGCATTCCTTTACGTCTAATATTCAAATTGTGTACATCAGTGCGATATGTTATTTTCCAGTAAAGATAAGGCGGTGTTTCTGTTTATGGAATAGACACAATGCGTGATGTTTCCTTCTATTTTCCATATGTAACCAACCGATTTTCCGAAGTTTTGTGTGATGTTCTTTGTGGTCTACGTATTCCATAAATCAATCGTAAACACGAATTTTGCACTTTTCGAATCTTTTTTTTGTAGTATGTAGTTATATTCGGGCCATAAAGAACATCGGCATAATTGAATACAGACAAGATGATTGATTCACATTAGGATTTCTTCACGTGAAAAGAAAGAAAGTTTCGGTTACCATAAATTATTTTGAGAGTAGCGTAGGCTCGTTGTATTAATCGTGTCACATACTTTTCTAAGTACACCTAGATTTTTTGCTTCCTCTACTATTGTCAGAGAGTTTCCAAGGACATGTATATCTATAGATTGACCAACCGCTTCTCGATGATTTTTTGGACCAAATATCAGAACATTTATTGACTTATCTGAATTAATACATAGACAATGATCAGTAGCTGCTACCACGAATCTAGTCAAATCTGCATTGAGTTCACCTGCATTATCAGTCATTTCAACCGGAAAACTGTAGTACAACTGGTATCATCAGCATATAAATGGGATTGACAATGTTGAAGCTTCAACAGTAGTTGAGATGTATAAATGGAAAGTAGAGGTCCAAGTATAGAGCCTTGCGGTACTCCAGATTTAAGTACCAAAGACGAAAAACTGTCTATCATAGTCGAGTCTGCAATCAGGCGAGACAGTAGAAAGTTTTTCGCCGAGGTGCATATTACATTTTCTCGTCGAACTCAAAACACTTATATCCACATCACGGTCCTATTCATACGTGAAATTCATCGGATTTCGTGAACATCTAATTTGACAACAGCGAATTACAGTTGTTGTCAACTCAGACTCCGCGCGGATCAGTTCGATTTTCATTTCATCAGAGTAAATACCTTGGCAAAAATTCCGTTCTATTATGCTATACGAATTCCAAGAAAGGATAATGAAATAAACCTGTGAGGTCAAAACATTATGTACTTTTAGTAAACAGAAAAGTAACCTATTTCCAATAAAATAGAAACATATAAAACACACTTTTGTCATAAAAAATTATCATATTCCTAATTTTCAATTTGAAAATACTCAAAAATATCACAAAATACAGTTACATAGGTACCTATATACTCATGAGATTTGAGTATATAAAAAACACGAACGAATAGTAAAAATGAACAGAAATAGAAAACAAATTAAAAGATTAAACGTAAGAAACAAACTGTTATAACAGAGGTATCTAGTGCGCGAAATGCTACTTTGGGTGCTTTGGAGATCGAGAGTTGATTTTTTTCACGAGGCGCAGCCGAGTTTCACTTGGACGGGGACATCGTTTGAGGAAAAGATACTTCAACCCTCTACTCCCAAAAGCAACCCCCTCTCTAATTTGAACAAGGGTCTTGTTAAACATCATTGCAAAGGTACCTACTTAATTCAATTCTAACACTAGCAGTGTCGAGTTATTTCAATTGTAAGAAGCTGTTCTCGAGATATTCGAGTTCAAATGTTTTTGAATAATCTTGACGTCGAACGGTATCCCTTTCCAAATGAAAATTGCCGTGTTTCGTGTTTTTTTTTTGTAAATTCATTTTTTTTTTTGTAGTTACCGATAGGAT